ACTTATTTCTAGATGGCCATTTTAGCAATCGTCTTCGGTAAAATGATGAAATAAATCAGCTAAGAATATCTCTGGGATGTATGATAGCGCAACTTTTGCCAAATATTGAGTGTAGATGGCTACTATAATAATCAGCTTTTTCGATGTTCTGCGGCTTACTTTCTGTTTAGTGCTGTACTGGAGCTGTTCACAGAAACATAGTTGGATCGCGCGTTTTTGGTTTGGGAGCGTCACATCCGTGACTGCATTGCTGTCTGACCGGAAGCCAGATTAGGTCAGTGAAACCGATTGTCTCTACCTCAAGAGCTTATAAGTTACAACGATGTGGGTATAAGCTGTCGCTAGTATCGAGACGTTGCCACCTGTCTAGCGCAATTATGTCACTCTATCTGATTTTGGGCATAATTCCTGTGGATGCTGACCGGCATTTCCATTTGTGCATCGTACATTTAATATTCGAGAGTTTGCTGATTACTTACTAATACGAGATGTTAGACCAAACAAGCAACGGGTCTAGACCGGAGGATTTTAATCATATGTTCATGACTACTTGCTGTGCTTGACTCCGCAGTAATTCGTCCTTATCGTGAGCACAGATTGATGCGTCCTGCAACATACTCAGCATCTTCCTGTTTCTTACTGTCATTGAAACGCACTCATAAGTGTACAGAGTTATTTAAAAGATTTAAATTAATTACTTGCAGGGAAATAAAACTAAAAATAAAGACAAAGAATTTTGTTGGAGAACATGCGGTGGCATCCTAAACGAAGGACCACAGCCGAAAACACCGAGTCAACTCAGCTGGACCTTCACACCATCCTACGCCATTGATATCACCTGGCATGGTGATGGAACTTTCTTTTTGCTGGAACTGTCTGCAATTTCAGAAAACCAAAACGAACGCGTTGAAAATATCGTAAGTTTTTGCAGTAGCACTTTCCTACTGTTTGAGATGCTACCACTCGAAAGTAGTCTGAATGGTTGCAGTTCGAAAGCAGTCAACTGCTGGCAAGTTCCTTCATGGCTCCTTCTTTCAAGGGTTGCGTAGAAGTAAGCTAAAGGCGAGTTTGACTTCTTGGTATACGCCGGTATCACTTTTCCTTCGAAACGTAGGAACGAATCTTAGAAGGGATTGATTGTCCCACCGTTGAACTCACTATATACAATATGACGAAAACGCTATTTGCCACTGTCTGTTCATGCCTGCTTTTTAGATACGTATGGGCATTACTAATAGATTATATATATATATATATGTATATATATATATATACAAGTAAAATTGTCTTGCCTATACGAGGAAGTAAAATCCGGCGTGTAAGACATTTTGCTTCCTTTGCCGACAACCCTTGAACGACACTTATTAGTGCTGACATCCTTGCACTTCGGATTTTTATTTCGTTTACGGGAAAATAAATGACCATTTTGGTGACCTTCTGAAAAGCGACGTACACACGTCGAGCAGGTGGTGGGTACTAATTAGAGACATGCTGGCCTGGACCGAAGGGCTTGAAATAGCTGCGCTCAGAGTGTGAGAACATCCTAGTAACATCATTAACAAGGGATGTCCGCACTGACAGCTTGCGTGATTTTAGTATTCATGGTGGATTTAATCTTTTCTTAATGATGCTTATACGTATACTATCCAGCAGGTCTGTGGAAAACAAGCCCTTCTTCCTCCGTTAATTCCTTGTTGATAAGACGTTACTTTTATAGATAATAACTACAGCATCACTGAAAAATTATACGAAATCAGCGGCAAACTTCTGCAAAA